ACATACATCTATATATATGTATATATGAATGAATCTGATTTCCTGTATGGCAAACGAACCATAAAGTCTTCAGGGTACAACTGGTCCTTACGGTACCGGACGGCTCGTCACAATCGAGTTGGTGAGGATGAACTCCAGAAGAGCTGCGTCACATGTGGCTGAACAGCATTCTGGACTGACCCGCTGCATGGCTCTGAGAAGACGGTCTTAATTCTCCAATTAAACTTTTTGGGTTCTTATAACTTAGTCGTAATCTGAAAGTTTTAAACCTTTTGGGTTTTTATAACTTAGTCGTAATCTGAAAGTTTTAAACTTTTTGGGTTCTTATAACTTAGTCGTAATCTGAACGTTTAACCTTCTATTTCCCTCGGGCATATTGGGGAAGTCAGCGGTACCTCACATAGAAGCCTGCCTAATTGCCAATATCATTCCCTCGGCTGCCTCATCACTCTTATGGTCGAACATACCACCCCCCCCCCCCAAAAAAAANNAGGGTTTAGGGTTTAGGGCTACTGTTCCAAAATGTTCCGCATATTTAGGCCCCTCTAGTTCCGATTCAAGCTCAAACCCTACACCACGGCTTTGATGAAACCTACACTTCAGAGACTTTTGACGCGCTTCCCAAAGGTTGTCAAAGACCCGACACAGAAACGCAGTCTTATGCCACTCTTTTGGGACGCAACTCCGTGACTCTAAACCTTAAACCCTAACCTCTATAAACCCGAGCCCGTTGAAGAGAGTAACAAAACAGCAGAACACACAAAGTTTAGGATTCAAAGACCCGCACAGCGGTTGGGTTTGGGCATGCACACGTCATGCCATAAGGTGGCCGCATGTGCTCGAGCTCCATCGTCCCAAGCACGAAAGCCTGATGCTATAGAAGTCGGAATACTTACCAATGCAACATATAGCATTAGTATCCTTAGAAGTCTTCTATAATTGGACGCCGTAGCCCGGTTGTACTGCATGAGGCCTGTACATTGTGCCAACCCCCCACGTAATCCTGGATTGCGCATGCCTTGAGCACATGGCTGGCGAAGTTGAATAAAGCCGATCTGGCCGTTGTGCCACGAGGGTAGCAAAAGTGCTAGGCATTGGATCTGGGCGGTAACATTTCGGGGTTTCTGGTTTCGTTTAGGAGCTTCGATTCTAGTTTAGTAGCTTGTTACCCAGAGACTCCAAAACCCCTNNATTACGGAATAGACCTTAAATCATATTAGCCTTCATATTATAATTTAAGGACCCTACACCCTATACACCCTAAACCCTAAACCTTTTTATGCCCCAACAGCTTTAGCTATGGGTTCTTCAGCCCTTTTAGCTTCAGGACGACCATATACGCCAAAAGGGCTCAAGGTTCAAGTTCTGTATACGGGCCCCGCGGCAGAAGAGTAGAGGGGGTTCGTGTGTGGAAGGTCCTTTGGTCTATAAGCCCTAAGGCTCCATGTGCCTCTATGGTATATACATAATAGGCCTGTCAGCACCTATATAGGACACCCTCTAAGGCCCCTATACCCCCAAAACCCTGAGCCCAAAACCCCTAAGTATCTATATACTATAAGGTCACCTGGAGCTTTTGGGAAGGTTGTAGTTCCTGTTCAGATAGTTAGTTCCCTCAGATTCAGGTACACACTTATTGAGGACCCTAAAGTACGCAGTGAATGAATGATGTAGCGAGGAGGAATCAGGTTTTTTAACCCTAAACCCTAAACGCTAAACCCTAAACCCTAAACTTTTAGTTTCAAGATGAAGGGTTCCGAGTCCTCGGGGGCCAAGTGTACCTAGTCAGCCTATGGGTTTAGGGTTCAGGGTTTAGGGTTTAGGGTTTAGGGTTTAGGGTTTAGGGTATCACTAGGTCTTCAGGTCTTCAGGTGGGGGATTGCGTCTTCCGAAGAAGTCCTGCTGCGCCCACACCCAATTTGATCACTGCTGCAGCTTTCAGCTCAATCCGTTATATTTTATCTGCGGCATCCGCGCGCTACGATGCTGCGTTAATGGCGCACAGGAGACTGACATTATACTGGGATCCGAATATGATCTAAGGCATCATGTTAAATCCTTAATTAAGGGATATTGGATGGTCTAGGTGGCGTTCAACTACTCGCCTGGCTCCTATTCCTGAAGGGTCGTGTGCACTTGCGTTGGTTTAGGGTCTCTAGTAGATTTCGCCACTGCCCCATTCTAGTTGTTTAGTCCCCTACATGAGTTAGAGGATATTTCGCCCATTTTGATATGTCGCGCCACCCAGCCCTCACCCTAGGACAATCCACCCTGAGATCTCAAACCATCTTTAGATCCCAACCCAAGCCACCATCCCAGGATTTTGGTTTAGGGTTTAGGGTTTAGACCCCAACCCAAGGAATATGCTTGCCAACATCTGGGTGCCACACACATAGATAATCAACAGTTGCAAAGGGCTTCCTCGCAGAGGTTGGTCTAGGGTTGGGCCTGCGTTGCGGCTATGCGGTGTCTTCATACCCCTAAGCCCTAGACGCCCCAAAATCTTAAACGAAGTATAAGATCTCTAGATTTGGGTCCGGCACGGCACCCTTATAAAAAGGACCCTAAAAGGGACCCCTGATTTAGAGAACTACCGCTATACCTTAAACCCCAAACCCTAACCCTAAACCCTAAACCCTAAACCCTAAACCCTAAAACCCTAAACCCTAAACCCTAAACCATACTTTCCAGGACCCAAGTGCCTAGTAACTGGGTCCTTTGGATCCTTGGATCTACACGGTTTAGGGTTTAGGGTTTAGGGTTTAGGGTTTAGGGTTTCATAGCAATTATAACAGTACATTAT